AAATATTATAATCTTAATTTTTTAAATATTGAATAAAAAATATTTATATATATAATTTTTTTTTATAAAATATTTTTTCTCAAAAACGAGATTGAGCCGAGCCAAGCCGAGCTCGAGCCTGGTACTATTTGGTTTAGCTCGGCTCAAATCCACCCTTACATTTCGCACACATGTGGTTAGTTATTTTCAAATTAAATCATCAAAAATATAAGAAGTCAAAATAAAAAGCCCTCTAATCACAATTTTCTCTAATAAAATCCATCCACTACTGAAATAAAAACCCACTTAAGTCTTAGGGTCCGTTTGGCTTGCAAGAATAGGGGTCTGGAATCGGAATCGAAATGGGCTATTCCGATTCCAACTGTTTGGTTGGGCGGAATCAGAATCCCATTCCCATTCCTGTTGGAATGGCATTCCCCCATTTGAGGGAATGGCCATTCCTTGCCCCTCCCTTGGGAGTGAAATCCCCTTCCTGCTGATTTTAATTCTCATTCTCATTCCTGTCTAAATCAAACAAACTATAGGAATGGACCATTCCGATTCTGATTCCAATTATGAACCAAACGAATCCTTAATTTTTTTCTAATAGAATCCATTATTACTCTTGCCGGTAAGAACTCTCTCTCTCTCATCCCATTAAATCCCAAATCAATATCTATATGTTAAAACAAGCTTGTGGAGGCATAGTTTTTTTTTCAATTTTTTACTTTTGATTTTCTTTTCTAAATGCTATAAACTATGACTTTTGACTAACTGATGGTGTCTGAACTAGTACAACTCAGGATGGTTGTTGTGGAGACATGGGATCCAATCCCATTGCCACCAAGTTTGGGGGTGTTACGGGTTTGGCATTGTGCTACACAATGGCCCCTACCAGGAACACAGGCATACCACCAACAATAAAAAGAGTGTGTGTGAGAGAGAGAGAACTCTAACCGTTACAATGACAAGAATGGTCTCAGGTGCTCACGAAACAAAATTTACTGACATGTAACAATCTTGGGTAGTCACAAATCCAAGAGAAGCTTTATTAGCTTTCGTTCTATCTAGCAAACATGTAACCAAGAAAAGTTTTACGCAAGTTATTACTTTATTGGCAATTTCTTATTAAAATATTCAGTAAAAAGTATTACGGTAATAGTTCTAACAAATACAGGTTAAATAAGAAAGTCTGAGAGGCTGATTGAAATTGAAATGAAAAGCAATCTTTTAGGTTCTAATGTCAAAGTTAGAGAGGTTGCATACTGACCATAATAAGCAATATATTTACGGTCTACCCCTCACTCTAATATCCTCTTTTGGCATAAATTCCAATGAAAAGGGCTTTTAATGTTTGGTAAGATAGACAGAATGGATGATCCACCGTAACTTGAATCATGGTTTTCAAAATCGGACCGGACCAGATGGCCAGACCAGAAAAATTGGGAATCGGTCACCCGTTTTTCTCTAAAACCGCTTTTTTCTCTAAAACCGTTGATTTTGGTCAGCAAACCGCTGAACCAGCTGGTTAATCATTCAAACCGTTTGAACGGTTTTGACCTTTTTTCAAAATTTTTTAATTTTTTTGTCAGAATGGGCCGACCATTCAACCTGATAACCGAACCCCTGACCAGGTCGGTCACCGGGTTGGTTTTAAAATGATTAATTTACGGCATGGTATATTGGACGACGTAATATTTTTTTTCTTATATATAAATTAGGCTTTCTGAGGACCATTGCTGGAACCAGCTATTGGTCTTCCTATTTTAAGGCAAAAATTACTTCAGCACTTAAAAAGAAGATAAACTATCATGGATCTTCTACTTGGAAGCAGTTAATTGGTTCTGTCCTTCCCCACTTATTAGTATGGTCTCTAACGCTTCACTGGTGGATACCTTGGTTTAGATTGCTGACATACAGGACCATAATGGTGTTTGGAACTTGGTCTAGATCACTGAGAATTCTTTCCATCATGATCGAAAGTGACTCTGAGGTTATGGTTGATACCTCAATCTAGGGCAAAAGCTCCATGGACTACCCTTTATTGGTTGGACTCCATAAGTCACCTATCTTCAAATATGCTTGAAACAAGGCAATACAGTAGCTGACTCACTTTCGAAGCATTCCATACAAAGAGGATCAAACATGAATTTTGACCAGATTTCTTCACTTCCACGAGATTGTTATAAATGTTATTTTGATGATCTCTTGCACATTCCAAAAATTCGATTTTTGTAATTGTTTTTTGGGTTTTGGGCTTTCTTGGAGTGGTGAGGATGTGTTTCGTTTGTTCATGGGTTTTGGGGCAAGGTAGGCTATGTCTTCCCCTGTTTGTTCTCAAATTATTATGATTTGATTTATTAATAAAGTTTCAAGCCAGAGATCTTAAGTGTTAAATCGTGCATACCTCATGAGGCTGGCCTTTATATAGATGACCTACCGTGAGCTTCATGAAATGCGTCCGATATCTCCGGCCCGTCTGGTTTGGAGCTAGTTCTATGCTTAGTGGTGGAACCTGTGCAAACAGGTAATGTCTATCCAATCCCATCCGAAATGGGTAGGGTGATAATTAGCTCTTCCAATGTGGAGTCGTGATTTTGGGGAATTCGAAGGCAATTAACCACTTAAGGGGGAGGTCGCTCGACACGTCAGGCAGGTCACTAACTAGGGCCAGGGCAATTTGGTGGAAACAGGTTGCCTCTTACACCGACCTGAGGTCTTGCCTAGTTATTTGTAGTTTGACCTACCAGGGTGGTACCGAGATCGTTGATACAATTGTGAACTGTCTGAAGTGATCTACTTACGTAGTGCCGAAGTGTCACCCAACTATTCTGCAATGCCACGTGTCATGATGTCATTGGAGGATCAAATTACCCCTCATCATTTTCCATCGCTAAAAATCTCATAGAACTTCTCAATTTTAGATCTTAATTCGACTTTCATTACATATCTCACATTTTATTAGTTCTTTTAGTACAAAATTCAGAAAAAGAAGTATTTAAAATGAATATAGTTCATTATTATTTATGATATATGATAGATCTTTTATTGGCTACAAGCTTTGGGTGGCAAACATTAGAGAGGAAATGAAGAATAAAATATTCAGAAAACATAAAAATATGTTATTAAGGTTTTAGTCTTTCGGATTAAGATTAAGTTAAGTGGTTATTTTGGAAGAATGAGATGATAGTATGTAATGGGGTTATACAACTATCATGAATCTAAGCAAATCAATGTATGATATATCATATATAACATGTATTATAAAATCGGGTTCAAGTTAGTTCGAGTTTATGAATTTCAACCCTAATCCTAATCCAAATATCAACTCGACCCAAATTGGTGCCCCATCCAGCCATTCTGAATCCACCCTACCATCATGAATGGAGGGAGGTAAAGGATTTTGTCTACGGGCAGGGGTGCCCAAAACCGCCCCGTTGCCATTCGTTGCAAATATTACTGAATACACCCTAACCCCTAGGTGGACTCAACGTTTTAAGGCAGCCAATGGGCGCTTGTTTTTTTGGTCCGGCCTGGTTTGATTGCTACAACTGGGTTCGAATGCCACATAATCCAGTTTATCCGATTTCACTCTCAAGTCTCATCCGCCCACGATAAAAAGAGGAAATCGGAGCACATTGCAGCGGCCTGTGGTTGTTCTTAAAACGTAGTGTGAACGCTGCGACAGACGTGTAAGCCTCTGCAGAGGCCTTGATCTCCCATTTGGCCAATGGCGACTCGTGTTGGTTACAACTTAGAATTCGTTAGACAACGTCTGAACCAAAAGCCAACACGTCCACAATCAGCAATTATTCTCTGACCGACCATTGCCCGGGTTTTCAAAGTTCGGCTCACCCACCAATGTACACGTGTCAAAATATATCACCTAGCCATCTCTCTAATCTCTAACTCCATGCTGTCACCACTCACCAGTCACCAGTCGCCGTATTAATATTCTCTTCCTTTCTTCTCGTTAATATAAGAGCAAAAGCTAAGGAGTTGAGGCCGATTTGGCTTCAATATGACCGCAGCTGCTACTACTTGCGTTGCATTGTTTGTAAGTGTGCTGGCTCTCACCGAGCTTGTGAGATGCGTGGCCGGTCAGATTAGTGTTGGATCGATGCTTTCAGCAAAGGAAGACAGGGTGTGGGTGTCGGAAAATGGAACATTTGCTTTTGGTTTCACTCCGGTGGATGTGCAAGACCGATTTCAATTGGCAATTTGGTACGCTCAGCTTCCCGGCGATCGAACTGTTGTTTGGTCAGCTAACCGGTAATTTCCATTAACCAACTGTTTTTCTTGGTGTGAGTTCTAAACTTAAATCTATATCATAAGGTCTGAAAACAAATTAGGTAGGTTCTTAAAAAATCAATGTACATAAGCTATGGCCTGGTCAATTAATTTCCTATCTACAAAAAAACCAAAGGTCCAACACCCTTAGAAACTGCTCAAAATTTTGCAGGAAGAAAGAACCATGAAATCTAAGAAGATAACTAAATTGCTCCATTGCTTGTATTTGTGCTTGGACATGGACTCTGATAATAGATATCATGTTTCTCTCCATAAACCACTTTTTTTATGGTTTCAGAAACATATATAGATTGTTTTTTAAATACAACCAATTTAGAGTTCATTTTCTTTGTAGCCGGAATTGGATTCAGATTCGAAATGATTTATTTTCATAGTCTATTTGGTTCAGACAAGAATCGAAGGCCCCGTTTGCTTTTTGGCAAACTATTTACTCAAGTAAATGTAATTACTTGGGTAAGTTTTTCTTGGAAAATACTTACATATATTTATCTATGTTATTTGATTTCCTAGGTAAATAAGGTAATGACCATTTTAGCCACAAAAATCCATTACTAAAAGGGGTATTTTTGTCCATTCAAATTTTAGCAACTTTCCCCTAGGTGGGAAAGTTATTTACCCACCTAGGAGATAGGTATCACTAATCCAGGTAAATAATAGGCAGGAAAATAAACATTTCTTGATCCCCACATAAATATAAAAAAAGAATATAGGATTGTTGGTCAATGGGAAGTATCAGTTCCCATTGACCAACTTTCCCGCTCTCAAAATTTGAAAAAAAAGAATGCCCCCAAAGTAGAAATTAGAATCAGCTGAAATAGGATTTTATTCTCAAAAAAGGGCCTCAAATAGGAAATATCATTCCACCAAGAATAAGAATGGGATTCCGATTCATGATTTCAAGACAGACGAAGCAACCATATCGGATATGGCCATATGGGCTTGGGCAGTTGCCAGTTGGGCTTTGATGATTAGTCGATATTCTGAGTTGAGTTATTGCCACATGCATGTAGGCAATAGCTGATTGGACGGCCCCAGTTGTTGCTCAGCCTGCAAGTAGGCAGTAGCAAGTTTCTAGGAGCTTTGTCAAAGGTGGGTGTGGGGTGAGGCATTGTCGTAGGTGGGGACCAGAGACAGACCGGCCAGGCCCATGATGTAAAATCCTAGCCCACCTGGCCTTAACCTACGCGAAGGAGGCAAAGGTCAGGCCTATGATGTAAAATCCTAACCCAGCTGAATGTGATGGCTGTTAAGCAGGCTGTGGTATCAATGATAAGAGCACACGTCATGGGTCTCATATATATATTTTAGGGTAAATTGCAGATGGTTAACCTAGGGGGTAGTGAGAGATAGATATGTTGAACTTTCAATTGCAACATCTGAGCTTAGGTTCATCTGTTAGTATTTCGTCAGTTAAACACTACGTAATGTTAAAAATACTGTTCTCGTATATTTTAGAAACCATTTTATAGAGTAAAATTATCACTAGAAAATGCCGTTATCAGGAAATTTGAATTTATTATCTGCTGTCCACATGAAAATATCATGATGGGGAGATATTCAGTTACTTAAAAATGATTTCAGAAATATAAAAAAAAAAAGTATTTTTTACATTATGTAATACTTAATTGATGGCATACTAATGGATGGACCTGAATGTCTATTTTTGAGAATTTAGGGTAATCAAATATTGCAATCGAAAATTCAAAATACCTATCTATTACTAGCCAAAGTATTGGGAACCTATATGTAATTTACCCTATATTTCATTTTATTAGTTCCACAACCTGCCGAACAGCTATTGCTTTCAGCATAACTGAAACGAAAATGAAAATCAGCTCAAAATGGCTGCAAGGCTTGTACGTTTGGTGTAAGGACTCTCTTGAATGGGCTGGATCCCAATCTTCTGAATATGGAGGCCCTGGCCCAGGCCCACCTGTTATTAATGGGCAAAAAGTCTAGATTGTAAATCTATGACCAACTACGATAGAGTATCGCATCATATCTTTCCGGTACCGGTATCATACTTTCCGGTGACTGGTATCATATACGAATCCAAAATATATACCCTTTTCCTATTTTCATCGCAAAAACTTTTGCGCGTCTTTGACTTATAGTCAACAATTCGTTTTTCTCTCAATCATCTAATTAGAAATTCACCGGTCGGAAAAGATGCAATCGTGGAGCTTGACGCTACCGGAAGCCTCGCACTTATCGATCAGAAGACACTCGTCTGGACGTCAAACACCTCCAACCCAGGCGTAAAATCGGCAGCCATGTTAGATTCAGGCAACCTAGTCCTCTACAACGCCACCCGCCACGTCATTTGGCAAAGCTTCTCTCACCCATCTGACACGCTCCTCCCCGGCCAACCGATAACGGTCTCCACAGAGCTAACATCCTCGAATTCACCTTCCCAGGGAGGTTGCTACACCCTGAAGATGCTCCAGCAACCCACCTCACTGAGTCTTGGACTGACGTACAACTCGCCAGAATCCTACGAGACAACGTTGGAGTCTCACAATTACTCGTATTGGTCGGGACCCGAGATATCGAATGTGACAGGGGACGTCGTTGCGCTTTTGGATGAATCCGGAAGCTTTGGAATTATGTACGGAGCCTCGTCGGCCGGAATTGTGTACGTGTACAAGAACGACGGTGACAATGGGAATGGGGGCTTGCCATCGTCAGGGAATAAGTCGGCCTCTGGATCCGTACTCCGGCGGTTGACGCTCGAGACGAACGGGAATTTACGTCTTTACCGGTGGGACAACGATTTAAATGGATCTCGCCAGTGGGTTCCAGAGTGGGCGGCTGTGTCGAAGCCGTGTGACATCGCCGGAATCTGTGGCAATGGGATATGCACTCTAGATGGAAGCAAGACCAATGCGAGCTGCACTTGCTTGCCAGGGACCTATCCTGTTGGACCTGACAAAAGATGCTCGGAGAGTTCATCGTTGAATGCCAATTGCAATAATTCTCATCGAAATTCCTCGTCTCGGTTCAAGATCACGACTGTGCAACAGACCAACTACTACTTCTCTGAATCGTCTGTGCTCGCAAATTACAGCGATATTACAACAACCTCAGAGTGTGGTGATGCTTGTTTATCAGACTGCGAGTGTGTGGCTTCAGTGTACGGTCTCAACGAGGAGAAGGCTTACTGTTGGGTACTGAAGAGCTTAGAGTTCGGGGGTTATGAAGACCCGGGCTCGACCCTGTTCGTCAAAGTTGTGGCCAATGGTTCAGAAACACCTGCAGACGACACCAAAAGATCTGGGGGTTCCTCAGAACATTCTGATAGTCGTCGCAACAAGGTTGTGATTCTCCCAGTTGTTCTCTGCATGACTGTTGTTATTGGGTTGCTCTGCTTCTTGTTATATTATAGCATTCGCAGGCGGAGAACCTTAAAAAAAGAACTCGAAAGCTCTTTAACAGTGTCAGGTGCTCCTTCGAACTTCAGCTACCGGAAATTGCAGAGTGCCACCACCAATTTCTCTCAGTTGCTCGGGACAGGTAAAAATCAGGTTCATCAGTTTCGGAAACTACATGTCAAGATTCAAGAACAATGAATGGTTTTCATTAGAAACAGAGTAAAATGCATGATCTCCAAATGAACCATGTTCTATTTTTTATCTCTCCAGGGGGTTTTGGGTGTGTATTCAAGGGAGTACTTGGAGATGGGACCTTGGTTGCAGTAAAGAAGTTAGAAAGGGTTTTACCTCATGGAGAGAAAGAATTCATCACAGAAGTAAATACCATTGGTTCAATGCACCACATGAATTTGGTTCGCCTGTGTGGCTTCTGCTCAGAGGGACAGCATCGGTAAAGCTTTCCTGTTACTAGAATTCTTTTCTTCATTCTTTTCTCTCGCTTGTTCTACTATCAATGCAAGATGAATTAATTAATCCTAACTCCTGTTGCAGGCTTCTGGTGTATGAGTTCATGAAAAATGGATCACTGGACAAATGGATTTTTCCCAATTCATACAGTAAACGAGACAGGCTACTGGATTGGCAAACTCGTTTCCACATAGCCATTGCTACTGCACAAGGAATTGCGTATTTTCATGAGCAGTGCAGAAATCGGATTATCCACTGTGACATCAAGCCAGAGAATATTCTGTTAGATGAGAACTTCTGCCCAAAAGTATCAGATTTTGGTCTGGCCAAGTTGATGGGAAGAGAGCACTCTCATGTCGTTACCATGGTTCGGGGCACCAGAGGCTACTTGGCTCCGGAATGGGTCAGCAACCGTCCTATTACAGTCAAGGCTGATGTTTATAGCTATGGCATGCTTCTTTTAGAGATCATAGGCGGCCGGAGAAACCTGGATATGTCTTTGGATGCAGAGGATTTCTTCTACCCTGGATGGGCATTCAAGGTACCCTCCAAATTCTTCAAATAGTCTATGTCAGTGAGTAGAACCGCCGTTGACCCCGATGGTCGGATGGTTTGGCCCGGGAACCGTCCAGGCAATCGGTTCTGTTTTACCCCAAACCCAGTCCTGGCCAAAAACCGTTGGATCAGTCAACAACCCGTTGACCCGGGTGGTTGAACCATTGAACCATCGACTCATTCAATGGTTTTTTGCTGTTTTTTTATTTTATTTTATTTTTATCAGAACAAGCCATCCGTTCGAACTAGTTGATCAAACCGTCAACCCGGAAACCAGTGGCCAAAACTATTACATTTTTGGGTCGTTTTTTAAAACCATGAGTAGAACAGATATTCATGCTTGTCTTCATAAAATTAAAGAGCACCCTGCACCCATATCATCATCATCATCATCTAAGCCTTATCCCAGCTATATATTGGATCATTACACCAATCTGGATCTCCTACTCACAAAAACCCAACCCACATCTATCCAGCTGTACATCGGGAACATCTTGTCATAAATGGTAACATGCAAATGTGGAAAATATTCCCAATGTAGGGCTGTAGTGATGTGTGGGAGGGAGATCCGAACTGCAATTACATGAATCTTGTTTCGACATTCCATTCTGTTCAATATGAGACTGAATCTGCTACCCACAAACTGTTTCGGGAAAATCTCCCTTGCAATTCATGGAGAGATGTTCCCAATACACATGGTGGTTGTTTTCCATGGGCAGGGATGTGGAAACAGTTTGTGGGCAGCAAATCCAAAGTGGTTCAATGCTATATTCATTGTTAAATTATGACCATTTAAACCCACCCACGGAACACCATTGCCGTGCATTGGGAACATCTCCCTATAAATGAAAAGGGAGATATTCCCGATGCACAGCTGTGGGTAGGGATATGGGAACAACTTGTGGATAGCAGATTCGAGCTCATTTAAACCATTTCTCAGAGATCACATCTCTGCCCCACAACGTCTCCACCGTGTATTAGGAACATCTCCCGATGATAATACCAGCCTCAATGATGTCACCACCGGGAGATGTTCTCAATATATAGCGGGGATGTGCTGTGGGGCGCCTCCTTGTGGGGTGGAGGTGTGAACTCCATTTCTCACTACTTTGACCCATGTCCATTTTGCTCTGCCCCTAGACCTTCTAGCACCTGCAGCTTGTAACTGAATGCTTTTCTCTTACCGGTGTGTTTTAGGTGGTCTATTATGTGCATAACCAAACCATTTTAGTCTATTTCTCTCATCTTATAGCAGGATTTATTCCTAAGTTCCTTCAAATGACTTCAGTTTCTGAACCTATCATTTCTAGTTTTAAAACGAATACCCACATACGACGTTCAATTTTGGAGTTGGGACTGACCTTTGCAATGACTACTATTGTGGGGGTTCAACCATGCATGTCATCAAAAGCTAAATTGTTCAATTCTTGGGGAAATTAATCTGATTTATGGATGCTTTAATTTATGGACAACCTGAGAGACATTTTTCTTTGTTAAGTAGTAACCTTGCAAATATTGGTTCCTCCAGGCGATGACAAATGGAACACCAATGAAGGTTGCAGACAAACGTCTAGAAGGAGCAGTAGACAGAAAGGAGCTGGTGAGGGCCATGAAAGTTGCGTTCTGGTGCATCCAGGATGAGGTGTTGATGAGACCCTCAATGGGAGAAGTAGTCAAGATGTTGGAAGGATCATTTGAGATAAATGAACCACCCATGCCTCAGACTGTATTAGAATTGATTGAAGAAGGCCTAGATCATGTGTATAGGGCCATGAAGAGGGAGTTTAACCATTGCAGCTCCTTCACCATCAATAGCCACCCATCATCTCATGCTACATGTAGTTATTCTACCATGTCACCAAGATGATCAACATCAACTGAAACTGGCTTTTGCAGGCCAAAAAGATAAGACTAGTTATTCCATATAAATTATTACACTGCACATTTATACTATCTAATGTTTTGCATTGAAGTCATTCACATTCTTTTTAGACTGTGTTTGGTTTGAAGGAAAAAGTAAGGAAAGGAAGGGACATGTAGGGAAACCTTTACAAACCTCGTATAGGTTTTCCTACAATTCCCTACCTTTTCCTTCAAATCAAATATAGCCTTAGTTCGTTGGAGAAATGAAGGAATCACCGGCCGTTTGGAAAAGGGAAGGGCACCCAAATGTAATTCATGATGACGATAAGGCCCTAAACCGTTGACGTGTTGTAACTATTGGTGGTGTACACCTTGTAGTGTTGTAAATCATGTTTATAATTTCTGTTCTTATAGATCACTCAATTCTTTCTTGTAATTTGAATCTATATCTATACTACTTAAAAAGTACAAATAGTCTCACTAATATTTCTGAAACTTTTTGAGGATAATTTTTTTTCTTCCATATTTAAATTTACTGATAAAAAATGAGGGCACAAGGATAATCAATTACTAGTATTAAATGAGTTGAAAAGAGACAAGTATAAGATATTCAATGCATTCAATTTCTTCTCTTTAAATCCAACACTTAAGGTATTAATTTGCATTCAACTTCATTGAATCAGCATCTTTATTTCTTCTCATCATCAAATTCTATTAATTAAATCCATACATAGTAAATTAAGGGAAATTGTCTAAAACTCACCATGAGTTTTCAACATTTCTCTTAAACTCACCACAACTTTTCAAAATGTCTAAAACTCACCATGTTAGTAAGTTTTTTATTTTCAAAACTCATCTTCCGTTAGTGCACCGTTAATGCTTCTTAACAGAGGTGTCCATGTCAGCATAAATAACAATTTTCATGACTAAATTACCCTTGAATTGTGAGTTAGAGGAAAAATGGTCTTCTTCGGTTTTCAATTTTCTTGTTTTTTTTTGTATTTTTAGTGTTTTGTTATAATTTCTAATGTTTTTTATAATTTCTATTTCTTTACATTTTCTATTTTCTACAATCTATAAATTTTATTGTGTTCTTGTTATTTATTTACAATTTCTGTGTTTTTCTATAATTTTTATTTTCTGATTTTGTTTTTCAATTTCTATAGCTTTTATCATTTGAAAATAATTTTTTATTTTGTTTGCAATTTCTATAATTTTTATATTTTTTGTAATTTCTATGCTTTTATGTATTTTATATTTGAAAATATTTTTTTGAACTTTTCCTTTTTTCATGTCTAAATATTAAAATGGTAATATATTAACACCTGTTAATTTATTTGTATATATTTTATATTTTTCTATGAAGGTTAAAATGGTTATATATTAACACCCGTTAGTCTATTTAACGTCAAGTTAGTGACATGGTGAGTTTTAGATATTTTGAAAAGTTGTGGTGAGTTGAAGAGAAATGTTGAAAACTCATGGTGAGTTTTAGATAATTTCCCATAAATTAATAATCCCAATAACATAAAAAACATACTTTTAAAATCTATGTTGTCACAATTAAATAATAAAATTCAAAAACATATAAAATGCAAAAAAAATAAAAATTTTAAAAAAATTGGAAACGTTTTTAACATTATATATTCGACATATTAAACAGAGACAAGTACAATAGAAGATAAAAGGATTTAAGGACTGGTTCTAATTGGATCCAATCCATTGGCAATCCTAGATTTGATATTGTTTGTTTGTGAGAAGTAAAATAGAAGATAAAATGATAGGATCAATAGATTGAGTTCACATCCGCACCCCACAAAACATGCCCCATGGGTGCCCCACAACATATCCCAACTAGGGGTGCAACTTGGGCGGGCCCAACCTGAGCCTGAACCAGCCCAACCCGGAATTTTACACGGGCTGGGCCTGGATTTTTGGTCCTCGGGCTGGGCTTAGGCCCAAGAAGTCGGGCTTTTTTATTTTTCGGGCAAGGCTCGAGCCTAGCCCTTAGATAGTCCAAGCCTGGCTAAATTATATACATTTATACATACATATATGTGTGTGTGTGTGTATAAATGTTGCATACATATTTACATATATAAATATATGTATATATATTTGCATAAATACATTTATATATGTATAATTTTAGAGTGGGTTCATTGACCAACCCGAGCCCGGCCCGGGCCCAAGCCCAACTCGAGTTCATCAAATTACAAGGCGGGCTGGCTCGGATTGGGAAAATCGGGCTTGACCTCGGGCTCGGGCCTTAAGCCCAAATTTTAGGGTCGGGCCTGGGTTGGCCATAAACCTGGCCCAACCCGCCCGACTTGCACCCCTAATCCCAACCCGTGTATTGGAACATCTCCCAATGACAAGTATAAGACATGTTCCCAATGCACACTGTTGTGATGTGTATGTGGGGCACCCAACATGAACTCTACTAGACTCTTCACCCTATAAAAGAGGATGGTAGCAAAAGGAAGGTTGGTTGTTTTGAGAATAAGATAGGAAACAAAATGACGTGGTTCCTACCTTTATATGAGGAGTCTGTATTTCCTACCTAAGACAACTCTACCCACACCTACCCACATAACATTGCATCAATACATGGGGACGTGTCATCCTCTTACATGTTATTATGCACCGAGAGATATTCCAAATGTATGGATAGTGTTTTGTGGGCAAGCATGAATAGAGTTCTTGTGCGCAAGAAATCCGAGTCTTATATGAAAGGAAATCAATGTATGACGAAAGTGGTGCAGATTTTGCATTGATAGGAACGCTTTTTTTTTTTAATTTTTGATAAAAGCTAGCAATGCAAATCATAGTTATAAACAAATGGATGCAAAACATCGGATGTAAATTTTGCATCCCGTTTAGATTTATACCGCAAACATACAGATTACAAAGCGTAGAATTTTGAGGATTTTTCTTGGCTCATTCAAGGAAGGAAGAATTCATCCCCCCCATGATTTTTTATTGGTCCAAGTCAATTAATAAGCCAACTAGGATTAAGAGAGGGCCACTTACACAGCTAACGATGGCCTCACCCTTAGTTTTTCCCACCATTATCTCAAGAGTTTTTCTTTTATAGGATTCAAATCAAAACAGAGCAGAATTTCATTTGTGATTTCCCATCTCCAATAAAACCCTACACCAAAGCAACTCGTTAGGTGATTTCCCAGCTCTCAAAAGTTCAAACAGAAAGATTCTTGTCTACATGTCCATTGGTTTAATCTACTTAATAGTAGTGCTAGGTTTGATTTTTTTTGAGTAGTACGCTTCATTCAATCCTTATATATAAGAACATAAATTGGTTATTCATCTAACCAATACTTCTCTTTTCTTTATTTATTATCTTCTCCCCATTAGACGTTGTTGAGAAAAGGGATATGATGAAGGGTAATTTGGCACGACCTAGAAAGAAGGGGACACGTAGACGCGATCTGCTCGAGGGGTGACAACTTAGCCAAATGAACCCGGCCCGCAACATTCGGAGTTCGGATGTTCAGCCACCTCGGCGTAGAGACACCTCGACACTCAATCCAGTTTAGAACTAAAGAACCGAAGTACCAATTCAGAGCTAAAGAGCCGAAACGCCACGTAATCGGCTCGAAAGGCCTCCCCAACGAACCCCGAATTTTTCGGATCATAACAAGACTCATCCTAGCTCCGCCTGAATCGGAGGTCAACAATAAACTTTATCAACACATTGCTCTCCTTCAAAAACGGAATAGATCTTATCTGCACAGCCCGGAGATCCTAGAGCTCTTTCGTAAGGCCCACAACTATTCCATTATATAAGGACATAAAACCCCAAGGCAAAGGTACGCATGATTATTTTACTCACTGGCACTCAAGCATGCAAGTATTTATCTCGCATCCACAATATAGTACTAACTTAAGCATCAGAGCAACCTCGCCAGGTTAGCTACCCTAGGTTCTTTGATCTACTATTTTGCAGATTGGTCCAGCTCGTCACGCAACTAGAATTCGGATCGTCTTCCAACTAGGAGTATCTAGATCGCACACCATCAGGATACTTGCAGAGTGATGGTATGTGATCTGGTGCTCCCTATTGGTAGATAATTCGGACGCCAAACTGAATAGATCACCTAGCTAAACTATAAAGAAAAAGATCAGAGTGTTCAGATTACTTTATCTAGGGTGGACACTATAAAATGTACTACTAAAAAAATCAAGAAAATAAACAAAATAAGAGAAAAAAAAAATCAAACCTATCGTTACTATTAAAGTAGATTAAACCAATGGACGTGTAGATAAGAATCATTCTGTTTGAACTTTTATAAGTTGGGAAATCACCTAACAAATTGTTTTGGTATAGGGTTTTTCTTGGAGATGGAAAATCACAAATGAAGTAATGTTCTGTTTTGATTTGAATACTATAGAAGAAACACTCTTGAGAAAACGGTGGAAAAAAATAACGGGTAAGGCCACCGTTAGCTGTGTAAGTGGCCTTCCCCATAGGATGAATTCGTCCTTCCTTGAATGAGCCAAGAAAAAATCCGAATTTTGATGAATTCCAGTCGGTTGGTTTTCTCCGACTCCACGACAGAAACCTATCCAAATCGATTTTTTCTGACTCTTTAGAGAGTGGAAAAGATGACTTCGATAGCAGATTATGTCACCTGGGTCTCCCACCCAAACGCTCAAACCAACGCCCCGAGCCCAAACCATCTTATACTCTCTACAAAACTGCTCAGAAAATCTCATATTTCATTTCCCTTTCTCGAAAAAATGGGATCCGCCGGTCTTGTTTTTCTGTAGCTTCGTTCTTCTCCCCGTTTGCCAAAGCCTTACCGGTAAATGGCTTTTCTCTTTCCTTCACTGGAAGTCGCCTCCATTTCTGGCGGCGTACGTGGCGAGATTCCTCTCAAGCTTTTCTGCAAAACGAACCCTAGAAATGGCATAAGCTTCAAACCTGGGGCTATAGTTCGTTCAAGTGTCAAAGATTGTCAGGTTAAGGTTTCGGCTTTTGAGGAGAATCTGAAGCTTTCTCATAAATTTTCTACTCCGATTAAGCCGAGTTCTCCATTGT